ATGGCTTTTCCTTCAGCTTGAAGGACCTTTTTTCTGAGGCAAATCCAGTGGTAATAAATTCTGCTAGTTTTTTTTTTTTGGACAGAAGAAGTATTTTCCCTTCATTTTGAGGCATAGGATTTCTGGATATGGTGTTCTTGTTTTCTTTTACATTTTAGATATATTATGTGAATCCTTTCTGACCTTCATGGTTTCTGTTTAAGAGTTTAGTGTCAGTCTCGTGAGAGGTTTTCTGTATGCAACAATCATTTACACTGTAGCTTTCATCATTTGCTCTTTAGCTTTTGACATTTTGTTTGTACTGTGGTCTGGGTATAGATCTATTTGGATTGATCTTTGTATGTGTCCTTTAAGCTTTCTGAATGGAGATTTATATTTTCCTCTTGGACTTGAGAAATTTTGTTATTATTTCTTTAATATGTTTTCAGTGTCTAGTCTCTTTCTCTTTTTCTTCCCCATCTACACAAATAATTCATACACCATTCTCTTTGATGGTGTCCTATAATTTCCTTTGACTCTCTTTAATCTTTCCATCCTATTTTATTGTTGCTCCTCAGATTAGATAATTCCCAATGCTTGTTTTATGTCTGCTTCTGCTTTCTTTATGTGATCTAGTGTGTTTTTGAACTCTGCCATTTAATTTTGTGTTCAGTTATCACATTTCTCAGGTCAATGATTTTTGCGTAGTACTTGAAAATATTTTAAGTACCAAGATGCAGTTATCTGTTCATGTACTGTTTTCCTTAACTTGGCAAGTACCTTTATGATTGTCTTCTTAAATTCTCTGTGGAGTATATAATATATCTACTTTTCATTAGGACCAGCTTCTCCTGATTGTCTTGTCTTTTCCTTTATTTCCTTTATGATTCTTCGTTTTCCTCAAATCCTTCTGTTGGTTTCTGTGTATTAGATAAAAGAAAAGATTGGGGCTGGGGAGATGGCTCAGTGGAATAAGTGCTTCTCTGGCAAGCGCAAGGGCCTGAGTTCAATCCCCGGTTCCACTAAAAAAAAAAAAAAAAAAAAAAAAAAAAAAAAAAAAAAGAAAAGATTAACTAGGTCACTATTGTTAGATTGGTCTGGTATAGGCAATATTTTTTTTAATCACCATAATTAATGATTGCAGGTATCCCTAAACACTCTGTAATTGCACACCCTTATGTATTTATTTTTAGAATCCATACTCTTAAATTAAAGAGTGTCAATTTATGCAATTGCCTTGAAATATGTGGGATAGAAACCAGTCCCTTAGAGTATGACCAGAGAGCTTGGGGGTTAGATGTGTGTTCCATTTCCTTCATTCCTTATGGATAAAGGAAAGCTTCTCATTCTGCCCTGCTCTATAGAGACAATCTGAGTCAGGCACCTGTACCATTGATCAGACTGTCCACTTTGAACAGTGGGAAGATAGCTCCTGAACATTTGCAGTGTTCAACACATTCAAAAGAGCAAAGGGCCACCAACTTCTAGCATTATACACCTTAAGAGCTAGTCTTTTGGGTAAAAAGTATATAAGTTGGAGTGTTCAAAGTGTAGAAACTACTTCCAGGGAGAATTTGAAGATCTGGACTTATTGGGGGAGCAAGCCAGAGAAGAGTGATGGAAATACTCCATCTCCTGTTTGAACAAGTGGAAGTTTTATACCCTACAATCAAAGAGGGCAATGGATAGCCTGGATTTCTCACTGAAGCAAGCCAGAAAAAAAGACACAGAGAATACCCTTTTCCCTTTCAGGCACAGAGAGGTAAACATCCTGTAAACTTCCTTTTAATGAAGGATTGCAAAGCTTTATCTTGGTAGCAAACTAGAGAAGAGGGTATGAGGATTCTGTCCCATCCATGCTTGCTGGCAAGGGCCTCCAACCTTTTTCCACAGAGATTGTAGGGCTGGCGTTGTTGCTGGAGCACACTGAGAAAGAATATGCTGGAAGGATATACTTATATGGTCTCAGAGAGGTTATTTATTTATGTATTTTGTAGAGATGGTTCAACCAAGGCCCTTATGCATGCTAAGATCATGCTGTATATATCTATATATCTATATCTATATCTATATCTATATCTATATCTATATCTATATCTATATCTATATCTATATCTATATCTATCTATCTATGCTAAATTCTATAACCAGTCCAAGAGGCTTATTCTTTATCTGCTCTCTAGGTGCCCAGATTCTGGCTTTCTGAAGGCCAAAGCCACAGAGATTTGGTAGAAAATCTTAAAAGCTAAATAATTTCTGGCAGGAACATGTGAGCTGGGCTGATCCTTGGAGCTGTATCTGCTGGGCAATACCCATGTGGTTCAAAAATCTCTTTTGTTCTTTGCACTTGCAATCCTCCCCTACTATAGAAGCTACTTTTGATGTTCCTTCCTCAGAGATTTTGAAAACATTACATTTGCTAGATGACAGGTGCACAGCACAGGCAGCAGCTAGTTAAAGTACTCAAATGAAAATAACATTGCTAGAGCAAGTGCAGTTAGGACTACTACTAGGGTAATTTTGCATTAGTACACTATAACTCACATTCCAGTGTTTTGCAGGTGTCTTAGTTACTTTACTTTCTGCTGAGACAAAAATACCTGACCCTTAGAGTTAAAGGAGGAAAGGTTTATTTAACTTAGTTTGTAGAGGTTTTAGGCCATAATCAGCTGGCTCCAAAGCAGGATGGCATGGCAGAGGGATAACAATTCATGGTAGCAGAAGACAGCAAAAACATCAAGAACAAAAGAAGGGGTCAACAAGCCTCTTTCTGCCCCTTTTATCTTATCCAGATGACTGGGATTAGGGCCATGCCAATCTAATCAGTGGATTGATTCAGCAATCATCCAGCCTTAATCCCAGTATTGCAGTATAAATCAACCACAAACTCTAGATTCAGCTACCTCCAAAAAGCCTACCCCTCATGACATGAGTAGGCTTTATGGGGACATCCAGATCCAAACTACAACAGCAGGGATCAAACTGGTAAACTAAATGGGGGAATGATGAGGACCACAGTTTTAGTATCTTTTAAGTCACTGTGTGGAGACCCATCTGTAGATCTACAAAATTGAGTGAACTTGGCCAAAGTGGTCAGTTTTTAAAAATTACTTAAGTTAATTTATTCTGAAGCCACAGTACTCAAGAGTAATTGGTATTGGTTAAAGGATAAATATATGTACCAATGAAAAAAATAGTCCAGAAGTAGACTCTCCCTTACATGATCTATCAATTTTAAATAAAGGTAGGATGACAATTTAAAGAAGAAATATGTTTTTTCAACAACTGATGATGGGATAGTTGCTTATTTGTATTTAAAAGAATGAATTCAGACTTGACTTCACATAGTCATAAAAATGAACACTGATTGGACTACTGGCTTAAATGGAAAAGATAAGTCTGTAAAACCTCTAAAAGAAGACTTAAGAGGAAACCTTTGTGACTTTGGCACATTTGAAGATTTTCTTTGTGCGGTATGAAAAGAACAAATCATAAAGCTTTGATAGACCAGACATTTTCAAGACTATAAAATCTATTCTTTGAAAGATGTTCAGTATTAGTAACCACAAATAAAACTTCAGTTAATAATGAATAATAATTACTCACCTCAAGCCCGGCTAAAGCTAGCATTGTATAAAGTAGTTTCACTGTGTTAAAAATCTGTGCCCCACTGAGAAATCCTTTTCTCTTTCCCAACCCTTAATCTTTACTCTCTCTATGGATTTGCTTTTTCTTGCATACAACCTTTTCCTATTTTTTTAACTTATAAAAAGCACTTAAGTGTCCTTCATGTCTTTTCATGGGTTCATAGCTCATTTCTTTTAAACACTGGACAACATCCCACTTTCTGAACGTAGCAGAATTCATTTATCCATTCATCTGTTAAAGACATCTTGCTGCTTCCAAATATTGGCAATTATGAGTGAAGCTGCAATAAATACCAGGGTACAGGTTTTGGTGGGGACATAAGTCTTCACTGCTTTTGGATTAATACTGAGAGTCATGATTGCTAGAGTGTATTTTTAGTTTTCTGTGAAACTGCTAAGGCATCCTTTAAAATGGCTCTATCATTTTGTGTCCTTGCCAGTACAAATATCTATTGCTTTACATACTCACCAGCATTAGTGTCCAGGGGCATCTCACTGTTGTTTCAATTTGTGTATCTTTATGGGCATATGATGCACACAATCTTTCATTTGACATATTTATTGCAATATCTGTTTAGGCTTTTGAGATATTTTCCTTTATTCTGGTTATTTGTTTTCCTCTCATTAGTTGTAAGAGTTTTCTGTATAGCCATCCTTTATCAAATATGCTCTGGCAAATATTTTTTCTCAATCTTTGGTTGTGTTTTTATGCACTAATTTGGTACATGGAACAAATTTATCAGCATTTTTTTCTTTTTAATTTTATGGAAGAATTTGGGGAGCATTGGCATTAGTTCTTCTTTGATGTCCTAGTACATATCAGCAGTGAATCCATTAGGACCTGAGATTTTCTCAGTGTACAGAATTTTATTACTTCATCAATTCCATTTTCTACTACTGGTCTGTTCAGGGTTTTTTATATCTTCTTGGTTCAACTTTGATAGGTTGTATGCATTTAGGAATTTATCCATTTCTTCCAAATTCTCTAATTTATTAGAAATATTTTCTAATAGTTTCTTTTTTTTTTTCGGAACCGGGGATTGAACTCAGGCCCTTGCGCTTGCCAGGGAAGCGCTTATTCCACTGAGCCATCTCTCCGGCCCCTTTCTAATAGTTTCTTGTAATCATCAGAAAACCCAGAGAGAGAGAGAGAGAGAGAGAGAGAGAGAGAGAGAGAGAGAGAGAGAGAGAATAAAATATCTCTCTGACAGAAATTCTCCATTAATGAATCCTTAAAGCAGCAAGACCTGACTAAGATGATGTTTTGCTGGAAATGCTGGGGTCTGAACTGATAGAACAATTCAGAAATATTTAAAATAAAATAACAAGTAAGTTTTATGTAGTGTGAGACCTCCTTTAACCACATATATTTTGGTTTTGAATAAATTTTACTTTTAGGAGAGTTGTAGGTTCACAGAAAAACTGAGTGGAAAGTTCAGAAAGTTCTCACAGAGCCCTTGAGCCACCAGCCTGCACCTCCCCGCCGTGGACATCCTGCACCACAGTGTTATGTTTACTGCAATCGCTGAACTCCCGAGACTTATAATTCTCACCCCAAATCCATAGTTTCCACTGGGGTTGGCTCTTGGTGAGGTAAATTCTATGGGCTTAGACAAGACAGATATCTACCTCACGGCATCACACAAAAAGTATCACTGCCATAAAAGTCCTCTGTGTTTCACTTTTTAAAAATCCTTTTACTTTTGTTAATTTTAGTTGACTCTGTCTTGTTGAGTAAGACTGGGAGAAATAGTGACTTTCACTCCATTTGAGTATTAAACATTAACTTCACTTATTCTTTCCTACATATTTTCCAGATTCAGGTAATTCGTGTATGGATGAAAAGCAGATTATACAGGACAATTCATTCCCTTCTGAAGAAGGTAATACATTTTCACTATTAGTGGCCAACACTGAAGGAATGGTAGGTTGTACTTTGTTAGAAACAGTAGTCACTTTCCATAAAAGTACCATATATTTTCCACATTTATGTGTGGCAGAAAAGTCACCTTCAGTGATAGGTATCTATCTATCTATCTATCTATTTATCTATCTATCTATCTATCATCTATTTATTTTTGCAGAACCGGAGATTGAACTCAGGCCTTTGAGCTAGAGATAGGCATTTAGATTTAATGTTATTGATTATTTCACACATATTAAAGCTAGGGAGGGCTGGCAAGATAGCTCAGTGGTCTAAAGTGCCTGCTTAGGTAAGCTTAGCAATCACAGGCACAGAGGTTCAATCCCCAGCATCACATGCCACCAGCTCCACCCCCAGGGCAGGCTGAGCTGGAAAAAAAAAATTGATAAAACTAGGGATGGGCTGGGGAGATAGCTCGGTGGTCTAAGTGCCTGCCTGGCAAGCACAAGAACCGGGTTCAATCTTTGGTACCGCTTGCCATGCTAAAACGAACCTGGGCGCACCGTGGCAGCCCCTGAAATCGGGCATGGTGGCATATGCCGGTAATCCCAGCTCTAGGGAGGCTAAAACAGGAGGGTCATTACGAGTCCAAGCTGTGTAGAGAGACCCTGTACCAAATAAATAAACAAATAAATGAATAAAGATTTAAATTTTTTTTTTAAATTTAGTGGAGACAACCACATAATCATTGCATTTTCTTTTCTGAAGAGTATTTTATTTTCTGAGGAGCTTGAATTGTGTGAGAAATACCACTATCACCAAAACATTAGATTTTAGGGCCGGGGAGATGGCTCAGTGGAATATGCACTTCCCTGGCAAGCACAAAGGCCTGAGTTCAATTCCCGGTTCTGCCAAAAAAATAAAAAATAAAAAAGTAAAATA